ACTCCGAAGTCCTATCTCTGGGGCAAAGTCAGGAAGTCAGTAAGAAATCCTCAGGTAGTCCCCTGAAGAAGCTAGGTCAGGCATTCCAGGAGGTGGTAGGGAGGGATGGGGGTTGGCTGGGGTCAGCGGTAGGTCAGCCCTAGGGATCGATAGTTAAGACAGTACTGGAGGGTACTTAAGACACAGACAGGGAGGATGTAGTTAGTTGCTCTAGACCAGAGCCTCATGATTCCCTCTACAAACTCAATCCAAACCAGCTCCCAGTTGCAGAGGTCCCAGTGCCTCCTGTGCTCTCTGAACACCCTCCCACCCACCGTAAGACGAGTTAGTGACTGGAGCTTAAGCGTGGAATCTGAGTTCTGAGTTCTGGGGAACTAGCTCCACTCCTCCCCATATGCTCTGCCACGGCTGTTTCTGAGGAACTCCACATCCCAGGGTCTGTGGTCAGCCATAGGCACTCGGATGTTATGGCTCACTGCAGTCAGTAATCTCTGCCCTTCCGCACCAGGAACTAGCTAGCTCTGCCAGAGTCACCGCCCAGGTCCCAAGCACTTTTTGGTGTCAGAGCGCTGCTCCATGCCAGGGGTCTGTCGCCTTTGGGAGGAGTTTCTCAGAAGAGCAGCGACTTTGCCAAGCTACAAACTGCGTGCATGCCTAAGGTGCTGGTGTCGGGACACACCGGGCTCCTCCTGGCTTTCACAGGCACAAACTCAATCCCAAAGCACCGCAGCAGAACTCCGAAATGCTCGGTTCTAGCCCTCTCTTGTCCGGTAGGAGCTGTTTCCTCTACTGCCTGCCCTTGTGTGTCTTGAAAACAAAATACAGAAAGTGTCGAGTGGGACTGTCGGGGAGTGGACACCGGTCGGGAGAAGCAGAGGCCAAGCTAGCACAGCTGCCAAAGTCGGCTGCCCGGGTCAGCAGAACTTTGTTTCTCAGTGCGCAGGCGCAGGCAGAGTTGGGGGGCAGGGGAGGGAAGGGAGGGGAGGAATCGGGATGCAAGGGGGGGTAGGGGGTGGTGGATTAAAATAAGTAGGCGGCTCGGTGCTAAGGGATGAGTGAGACGTAGCTCGGCCTCTCCCCAGCAAGTTCTCACCGGCTCGGGTTCAGACTCAGAAAGGGAGCCAGGAGAGGAGCTCACCAGACCCTGGCAGGCAGGACTCCGGGACTGCGGAGCGCTCCCGCCTCTTGGGCGCTTGGAGTCCCTGCGGCTACAGGCGCAACAGGACTCCAGCTTGCCAGGGGTGCCAGGAGGCTCCAGTGTCTCTGGTTCCTCGAGTCCAGCGCAGCGAGCCTCAGAGACCGGGACCGCGGAGGAACAAGGTAACTGCAGCCCCGGGGCGCCTGGACTCAGTGAGGCGAAGGCGGACAAGACTCCTGGTTCCTTGTTGTAGCTGGTGCCTCCTCTTTTCAGGGTCCCCAAAGGAAGTTCTTGCCAATGGAAGGCAGCAGGATCTTTGTGAAAGTGAGAGCAGTTGCAGAATAGGGTTGATGGGGATGCTCCTTCAAGAACTTCTGACTCTGTGTCCTTGTTGGCCTCTGACCTCGGTGGAAAGGTGGGGAAGGAGGGGTCCGGACCTTTGAAACCCACCGTGCTTGGCTAGGCCAAATTCGGTAAGGTGCCCACAGATTTTGTAAGGCAGTCTGTGGGCTCCCTTTAGAAACTCCCAGAGCAACTTGAGAGACCACAAACTTTTGCAGGATGCGCGTTTAATTAAGACTAGCCTGAGAAACAGGGTAGAGTGTGTGGATGGTCATAATCCAAACCTACAGCACCCGGGACAGGTGCATTACCCCAACGCATTAAAGCTTTAATGCAAGTTAGTCTTTGGCGGAGTTGGTCTTCACACGGGAAAGCCTCAACCCCCAGGACCACAAGGCTGCTCCCGGTCTGAAGCCTGCCTTGCACTCAGGCTATGTGGTTGGGATGTTCTCTATTGCAGGGTTTCTGTGTGTCCTCAGGCCTGCAGCTCTGGTGTAGGGAAGCATCCTGGGGGCACAAACGAACTTTGTTTTCTAACTGGAGACCCGAACACCGGAGAAGCGGAACCATGCTGGAGCTGCAGATGTCTGGGGTGGGGTGGTGGTGGTGGAGATTCTTTTGCTCTTTTGGTAGTCGCCTAACACAGGCATAAGTGGGAAAGATAGGAACCCGAAAAGAGAGAGAATTTGAGAGAGGCTGTTGTTTGCTGAACGAATCCTACCTTCCACCAACAGCCTTGATAAGAATAAAAATTCTCCCGCTCAGCCCTTTCTCAGCAGCCCGGGCGCAAGCCGGGTGGGCTCCGGAATACAGTTTGGCTGCAAGGGTTTCTTTTAGGCAATAATTCGATGAATTTCATCCAGGATGGGACCTGCAAGTTGACTCTTTGAAGAGAACCACGTGTAAATCTATTCTAGTTTCACAGCCTCCCAGGGAAGAAGTGGGCTGACTGACAGGGATGGGGGAACCAACCGACAACTGACAATTGGCTGGTAGATGGTCTATCCCAGGCTCTCTGGAAAGTAATTGCGGTTTCATTAAGATTGGGGAGCCGACTCCTGGGAACACAGCGGGCATCCCAGTATCGAAGAATGGCGAACGAAAGTGGGTTCCTTCTATCTCGTTTGTTGGAAAAATGCAGCAAAAGTATCCAGTGCTGGTCAGTCCTTTGGACCTGGATCCCAAAGCCTGTCACTATTCAATTGGGGATGCGATGACAAGGAAGACTGGGCGGGGGGGGGGGGCTGCGGCTGGGCTTCTTCAGGCACAAGCTCTTGGGGTTCACTCTGTCCTCATTAATGCAAACAGTTAACTCGCTCACGCTCAATTAGCCCCGAATAAACCACTTTAATAGGCTGCACACTTCATTAATGCCCTGAACAGGGCTGGCGGCAGACGCGGGATTGGCGTTCCACTCCAAGAGGGACTTGAATGACTGTGCTGAGCAAGGACCCCTGCTCTGAGGCTCGAATTGAGTTCACTGTAGCGAGTCAGGACACTTACTAGTGCTTTCCATGTCTCCAGGCCTGAGCTCCATGTAGAGTGGATACTGGGCCTTAGACTAGGTGGTCACAATCGGGTTAAGGGATGAAAAGCTCAGGTTGGGGTCCGGGAGGAGCTGGGGGCAGGGAACGCTGGAACTGGAGAGGCCCGGTGTTTGCTTATCTTTTCAGGCCAGAGAGGCATATCTGTCCATGTTTTCTTCCTAACTGATCGCTTGAAACCAGACCTTGTATTTGGCCCATTTGTAGTACTGATATAAAGAGCCACGTTTCGAACGAAATTCGCCCACGGGGAAAGAGTCCGTGGTAATGACCCCTGGAATCCCAAGCCTCAGAAAGCTACAGAAAGTAAACTGCTTGGTCCGTTGAGAAAAATAAATGGCTTGTTGGAGGAAATAAGATTAGGCAGATTGGCTGCAAGTACCACCCCTCCAGGATCCCAAGGCCCCTCCAGTCTTTTTTGACTCCTCAGATGAAGTAAGGAAAAGTCAGGCGAAAGTTCATGGGATCTACCAGCCCTAGCCTTTCAAGTCAGAGTGCTTCTGCCATCACTCCTTGACTTCCGTAGGCCTAGCAGGAGAGAAGTCAGTGTGGCCTCCCCTTTACCCAGGCTGGCTCCAATAGAGCCTAATATAGGGATCTAATTTCCAGTCCCTGGAAGGGGTCGAAAATCAAAAAGCATTCAGCTAGCCTAAATCCTGCCGACCTTTGAAGTTGGTGGCTGCCTCCCCCAAATCTGAAGGGTCCCTAGCTTCCTCTTCAGTCCAAGGGTACTTTGCTTTCTCCTTGTCCCAGAGCTCCCAGAAGGCCCTTTTTTTTTTTGGCTGGCACAGGTTTTGTGAGTTGGGTAGTAGAGAAGGCTGGTGCAAACTATCCTGCTAACTAACCAGGCTGGATGACAGCAGATGTGTGGTTTTCTTATCTGGGAGGCCAAATTAATTGCAGACAAATTTCATCCAGCCTGCTCTCGTGTTTGGGGCAAGCATCATCCCTACCAATATGTCTTTCTTTGGATCTAGCTGTACCAACAGTCACCTTCCTGTTAGCTGTTAAGGTGTCCTGGGTAAAGTGTGCTCCAGTGCCCCCCACCCCCCCCACCCAATGAAAAGGTTCTGAGCATCTCTGGATCGGCCAAGCATTTTTAGAGCCCCAGGTGGAGGAAGAAAATCAACTCCAATCTCTCTGCCTTGCTTTCCCGGTTAAAGGTGTTTAGACCTGCAGGGGCCAGTCTTAGCTGGCCAAAATGCAAAATGTATCGGATACACCCCAGAGATAGAGGAGAGATAGGAGAAAGAGAAAGAGAGGCACGGAGTCCAGGAAGAAATCAGTAGGCAGAGACTGACACTGGGGGAGAAAAAGGAATTTACGGATACCTTGCTCTGACAATGACTGTACTGCCATTGAACCCCAAGCTCAGAGGCTTCCCAAGGGTTCCTAGTATTTTTGGCTTTCCTACTCACCCCCACCCCTTGTTGACTATATAGACCCAAATTAGAAATATCTGGAGGGGCCAGATATGAAAGACATTTTTGCAGAGCACCCCTTCCATCCCCATTTTCCCATGCACACTGAGGAACTCCACCAATGTAGTCAAAAGATACCAGCTCTGGAGCTCCTGGTCACTTCAGTATGGCACCAACCTTATTCGGGACCCTTGATCTTGCATTCAGAGAGTAAACAGAGCATAGCAAATGTAGGCCTGGCATTAGTGCTCCTACCCACGCACACTGCCCTTGCCCAAGGTTCTTATAATACATAGGAAGCCTGAACATCCAGAGAAAACCAGCTCCCCTGGGGGAGGGCACATGAGCTCCCTCATAAGGAATTACAATGACTTGACAGAACAAATGAACTGGACAGGGATGCCAGTACCTTTCATAAAATGGGGGTCACCACCAAAGGTTGGGGAGTCAGTCTGAAACCAGCTGACTGAGTCCACAGGGTTCACCAGTTGTAAGGTACACAGCAAATTTAGGTCCAAACGAGAGTTTTAAAGATAATGGCATGATTGTTTGAGCTGAACCCCAAAACCTTAACACGCAGGACGTGGATGGTATGCAAGTTGGAAGGCTCCTGCATTTTGTACAGGGTTGTCCCACAAAAGCACTGGCTGCCCCCCTTTGTCTCCCAACCTTCTTGTTGATTCTGCTTCAGGACATGTGAATTTGAGTGTGTAAGTGTGCTTCCCAAGAGTCTGTCATTGTTGCAGGACCATGTAATTCTGTGTGGCCCCAGGTTTGCCTGGATGTGGATGTCAGTGTCTGCATGCCATGCCTGTGTTCCTATGTTTGCATCCTTCACAGTTGACAGCAGACGTTTATTTTAAGTTGGTTGTGTCTGTGTTTAAGGACTTAGTTTCCCACTGATGGCTCTGTCGACAACATGTGTCTCTGCCACATTTGGAGGAAGTTTGTCCATCATTGAGGATCCTGGCCAGACATCCCTCCTATATCTTATGTTCTGTTTTGAGACCGTGGGTTCATGGGTGGGGCCTTTGATTCCCACCTCCTGTCTGCCCTAAGGGAAGGAGAGGGTATAATTGGACTGGAATTCCGGAGGAAGGTGACCAGTCTGAACATCTCTTTGGCTTTCTCCCTACCCTTCTTCCTGTCTTTGCAGATCAATAATCGAAATCATTGCAACTACCAGCTACAGAAATGGGCAGCAAAACCTTGCCAGCACCGGTGCCCATCCACCCATCCCTTCAGCTCACCAATTACTCGTTCCTTCAGGCAGTGAATGGCCTGCCTACCGTCCCCTCCGACCACCTGCCCAACCTGTATGGTTTCAGTGCTCTGCATGCTGTGCATCTGCACCAATGGACGCTGGGCTACCCAGCCATGCACTTGCCACGTTCCTCTTTTTCTAAAGTGCCAGGTGCGGTGTCCAGCCTGATGGACGCTCGCTTCCAGTTGCCTGCCTTTCCCTGGTTTCCTCATGTCATACACCCTAAGCCAGAGATCACCACCGGAGGCAGCGGTGCCGCGCTTAAGACCAAGCCGCGCTTTGATTTCGCTAACCTGGCCTTGGCTGCCACTCAAGAAGATCCCTCCAAGCTCGGTCGAGGGGAGGGTCCTGGCTCCCCAGCTGGTGGGCTGGGCGCCCTCCTGGATGTGACCAAGCTATCCCCAGAAAAGAAGCCCACGAGGGGACGCCTGCCTTCCAAGACTAAGAAGGAATTCGTCTGCAAGTTCTGTGGCCGTCACTTCACTAAATCTTATAACCTACTCATCCATGAGCGGACGCACACCGATGAGCGGCCTTACACCTGTGACATCTGCCACAAAGCCTTCCGGAGGCAAGACCACCTACGGGATCACAGGTGCGGCACTATAGCATCGCGGGTGGCCCCAGAGGGTTCTGTTTTGGCTGCTCTGGCCTTATGCTTCCCCGCCCCAACCCCTTTAAGGTTCCTAAGAGTTCCTGGTGGCTGTAAGCATTCCCATACCTCTGGGAATTCTCTAAAACCATGAGTGAGCTTCCACCCTCTCCCCCTCCTCCCACCTCCGCTCCAGGATAAGTTTTAGAAAGTGGGTGAAAGAAATACGGTAATGATTAGGCTCTAAGATCAGAACTTCACAAGGTTGGGTCTCCTTGCCCTCTTTCTCAGTCCTCGGAAACTGTCCAATAGGAGTTCCTGCAATGACGGAGAGGTTTGGAAAGGAGCACTTGAAATAGGAAGCAAGGACGTTTTAGTTTTACGCTTGTCTAGTTTTCAAGAATCTCCTGGGCTAGTGTCTACTTCTCCGGCAGTGCAGATCTAGAAACTGTCTGACCCCAGGTCTGTTGATTGCCCTCCAGTATTGACTCGGCCTTTAGGAGGAGGTGCCTACTTATCACCCGCAGGAAGGCAGGTGGTCTATTTGTCTAATTTGTTTACGGAACCAAAGCTCCCCTCCATCTCCTCACTCTTAAACCAACAGTCTTCGGCCACAACATCTCTACTTTGCCTTTTTTCCTTTGTACCCACAAACACCTTAACAGTGGTGGGAGGGGATCTCGGACAGCCAAACATAAACAACATTGCATTATGTTTTCTGTCTCTACTCTTAGATATATTCACTCCAAAGAGAAGCCTTTCAAGTGTCAAGAGTGTGGGAAAGGATTCTGCCAGTCCCGGACTCTTGCTGTCCACAAGACGCTACACTCACAAGTGAAGGAGCTCAAAACCTCCAAGATCAAATGCTAAATAAACAGAGCCTGCGGGGCACCAGGACCCTGGGACGTGCTGCTGCCTTCTTTTCCAGAGGGACCCAAGCTGAAGGCGACTCTGCGGGCAGCGGGAGGGGCTTTCGGGATCTTTCTTCCACACCAACCCTGTCCCCTGGGTCCTTAGCGCTTGCGTCGCTCCAGAGCCTTGCCCGGGGCCATGACTCCTACACCCTGGGCCGCTCCCCCAGGACGCGGCTAAACTCTTGGCCAAAAGGCGGAACTCAACTCACGTGGCGGAAGGGAAACTGCATTAAAAGAAAAAAAAGAAAGAAAAAAGAAAAAAAAAAGAAGAAAAAAAAAAAGAACGAAAACTCCGCCGAGCCGCAGTGGCGCCTCTCCCAGAAGTATTACTTTTTCTATTGTTATTTTATACGTTTTCTTTATTTTTTCCCCCTTTGACCATATAAGCTTGTAAAGTCTTGACTGCGGAGAGGGGAAAGAAAAGATTTGTGCGCCCTGGCAATTTCCAGTCCCTCCCCCTTCCCCATCCCCACATCGGGGAGCCTGCGAGAAAGTGTAATCCATGTATCTGCTTCTGCCACCGGGTCCCAGGAGCCGCTGGCTCCG